ATTTAAAACGCAGCCCTATATAGGAACTCGTTTTAATCGCAACTATATTAAAAGTTAATTCAACTATATTAAAAGTTCATTCAATGATGTCTTCGGAATATATAGCAATACAAGTATATGTGTTTGTGTGTGTGATCTAACTATATGATTTCAGTGAAATGTACTTACCATGGTCACATACTTTCCCACATTTTGCATTCTGTGTTTTCGTGCAATTCCTGGTTGTAGCAAGGTGTGCTGGACACCGTGTGCATGGTTTACACTCTCCCAACCTACTCCATCCTGTACTGTATGAACCATCGTCGCACTGCGCACACTCGGTATTATCATAATCGCCGCATACTCTGGATACGTACGATCCTGGCGGACATTTTCTGCACTTTTCGCACTGTATTTCCCCTTTTATATTAACAGCATAACTATTTGTTTTACATAATGCCGCCGTCTGCAAGAATATAATTCATTTGTCAATGACACAAAGTCGGTTATTTCTGTCTTTTGAATGTTGTCAAACCTGATGTCTGGTATCATATTAAAAAGGATACACCTTTCATGTGACAACGCAAATTTGAGTCTGTACCGAATGAATATATACGAGATACATATATGAGTAGCTTCGCAATTTCCATTTTATCTGTTTACATGTTCACTCATTTTGTACCACAAGAGTAGTTTTGACCCAGTTTTGCATTGATTAAAATGTAAACGACAATAATGGGAAGAAATGAAGCTCAAAGTAAATTTAAAAAAGTGATTTGATCAGTAAAATATATGGAAACATTTAACTCCACTTAGTCATCACACATCTACAACATTTTGCATGGTGATTTTAATTTGACCGCGCAACAAGTGTATTGTACTTACAGGGAACGGTTGATTTTTGTTCAGTTCAAATACCAACTAGCACTGTGCATGTTTTCGGCATAAGTATGGGCCATCTAATATGACATTATCTCTAGAATTGTAATTTCGGCACCAAGTTAGTTTTAGGTCTCGCAAAAAATAAAATGTTTCTGGTTGATTGTTTTTCAACAAAATGGAGTGGTGAAACGATTTATGTATCCACTTTTTTTTCTATTTGAAACAATCGACGGTGCGCAATTTACGCAGGTTTTATTAATTCACAAAAGAGGGTGTTATGAAGTGGTAAAACAAGTGGGAAAATGGACCGCTTTGCTACATTAATATGAACTACGCAGTGCTTTGCTACAGTAATACGGACTACGCAGTGCTTTGCTACAGTAATACGGACTACGCAGTGCTTTGCTACAGTAATACGGACTACGCAGTGCTTTCCTACAGTAACACGGACTACGCAGTGCTATGCTACAGTAACACGGACTACGCAGTGCTATGCTACAGTAATACGGACTACGCAGTGCTATGCTACAGTAATACGGACTACGCAGTGCTATGCTACAGTAATACGGACTACGTAGTGCTTTGCTACAGTAATACGGACTACACAGTGCTATGCTACAGTAATACGGACTACGTAGTGCTTTGCTACAGTAATACGGACTACATAGTGCTTTGCTACAGTAATACGGACAACGCAGTGCTTTGCTACAGTAACACGGACTACGTAGTGCTTTGCTACAGTAACACGGACTACGCAGTATTATGCTACAGTAACACGGACTACGTAGTACTTTGCTATAGTAACACGGACTACGCAGTGTTATGCTACAGCAACACGGACTACGCAGTGTTATGCTACAGCAACACGGACTACGTAGTGCTTTGCTACAGTAATACGGACTACGCAGTGCTATTCTACAGTAATACGGACTACGTAGTGCGTTGCTACAGTAACACGGACTACGCAGTGTTATGCTACAGTAACACGCACTACACAGTGTTATGCTACAGCAACACGGACTACGCAGTGCTTTGCTACAGCAACACGGACTACGTAGTGCTTTGCTACAGTAACACGGACTACGCAGTGTTATGCTACAGTAACACGGACTACGTAGTGCTTTGCTACAGTAATACGGACTACGCAGTGCTAGTCTACAGTAATACGGACTACGCAGTGCTTTGCTATAGCAATACAGCAACCGTGGAACGAATTTCTTTTGTACTCCCGCTCTTAACCCTCACCCCAGCCACCAACTCAATTTGGAAAAAGTTCCTTTTGTACCTCCATCGCTAATCCCAACTCTAGCCCTCACCCCAACACCTCCAGTCAACTGTATATGCTCCCTCTAGATAACCATACGTGTTCTTCGGAGGGGCATATACAATTAAATTGGGAAGCGCTGGAAGGTAGGGGTAGTGTTAGGATTAGAATTGGGGGTACAAAGAAACTCTTTCCTTTCTTTTGAACTGTATGACCCCTCTAGATAACTACAGCTGTCCTTGAGGTTAAGACTATACTAAGGGTTGGCCGTACGCAAGTTAATGACTGCGTCCACACTTCACCTCTACAGTTACAGACAGTTATAAAGAGACATTGGCCAGACGATTATCTGAGCGTCAACTTCTCCTATCGTTGGTTTCAGTTAGGCCACAATCCCACACAAATCAGCCATAACGAGACAAGCACAGCATTTGTATCGCTAGCAGTGTGCGCCACATTCAAGTTGTTGACCTACGCTGAAACAGCATGACAATGTCCTTGGTCGACCAGCAAGAAAGCACTTTGTTACACGCACTCATTATATCATTCACAACTACAATAACTCACCGTATCCACGAAAAA